AAAAAAAAAAAAAAAAAAAAACCAAACTAACAACAAACGAGTTCTAAAACTAAAAATACCAAAAGCAAAAAGAAAATAAATAGATAAACCAAATTATTTTTGGCATTAGTGATCCACTAAAACAGTACCTATAATTACAGTGCCTACGAAATGCAGACGCCTACCCTCCACGTGGATGATTCCCCACTAACAACCTCACGTGACGTCTCCCTTCTGCACGTGCCACCTGTCGTCTTCCCGCCCCTCCCTCCTCCGCATCGCCGCCGTGCACCACCGCCGCCGTCTCCCGCACCAGCCACTCCGTAATCTCCCCTTCAATCTCACAGACCAATCTCTCTCTTTCCTCCTCCAAAAACCCGTTATTCAATATCGACCCCCGCAAATCCCTCTCTATCAACGAGTCAATATCCTCCAGAACTCTGCAGTCCGCCGCCGGGAAATCCCCTATTCGCCGGCACAGTTCGCCGCACATATCCAAATTGTCAGCCGGAATCGTGCTAACATCAGCCCACGGCTTGAAATCCAGCTTCGGTTTTAGGATCTCGGCCAGAAGCTCGTCGGCTAGCTGGAAGATCAGCTTCCGATTGCAGCGGCGGCTCAAAATTCCGGCACCGCCGCCGGCGACGGCGAGCTCGAGGTGGTAGAAGATGGAGGGATCTAGCGGGTGAGAAGCTGTGTGCCATTTGCCTAAGGTTGATGGGGAGAATCTGTTGTTGAGGCCCGCGCGTTTCAGGATTTTCTGGATGTATTGTCTGTATTCCGGCGCGGTGGCGCAACCGTTAATTCTATCTGGAAGGACGGTGGAGATTTGATCTGGCTGGAGGGACGCCTGCTTGTACGAACGGCCCAGATTACGAGATAACCGTGTGCTCCTTTTCGATGACAGGGCATCTGATACCTGCTGTGACTGCAAATTTTTCCCCACATGCCTAATTAATAATTATTAAATATTTTGAATATATTGAATAATACTAAATAATTGCCAACTCAACCCGAATACATATTTTTTGGATTTTTCTAAGTCTTTTAATGTTTGTGTCTAATTTCATTCGTACACCATATGGTAAGTAAAAAGGGACCATTTTTTGCATTATTTTCAGGTATATACAGTTACTGGAAATTTCCAAAAAAAAAAAAAGGTATGGAAAAGACACTTCATATTTAAAATAATATATTATAGTTTTTAATTTATAAACCGATTCGTGCAAAAAAAAAAAAAAAA